GAGAGTGTGATCGGAGAGTTTTTGTGTTCTTCTGCGGCGGGTCTTGCAGAACTTAGCTCCGACCGCATGGACAGTTTCCACGAGCTTGTCATTCATATCGTCCACTTCGTTGCAGTCTTCTAGGCACTGAAAACGGTTTTGTAACTCGAGCTGAAAGGTTTCGGGACTCGTTGACTTCATTAGACGAGACCTCTCCAACTTAACGTTTAGGTTCAGTGTGCCTCTAACCATTCGGTGATCGCTACCAATTTTCACCCTCGCGATCACGGAGACATCACTGAACAGTTGTCGTCTGGTCGTCATAATGAAGTCAATCTCATTTTTTGTGGAACCGTCGGGGCTCGACCAGGTCCACTTCCTGTGGGGCCGCTTCTGGAAGAAAGAGTTCATCATAAAGAGTCCCTCTTTCTCCATGAAGGCGGCCAGCTGCTGGCCCCTTGGGTTCCGTTGACCTATTCTAAATTTCCTTACTTTCAGCTCACCGTTCTCTCTTGTGCCTAGTTTTGCATTGAAGTCTCCCATTAACACCGCATAATGGGTTTTGGAGGAATGCATGGCTCTAGAGATATTCTCATACATATCCTCTACCTCCTCATCGGGGTGTGCCGAGGTTGGTGAGTAAACCTGTATGACCTTCATCGAATACCGTTTGGTGATTCTGAGTATAAGGTACGCAACCCTCGTCGACACACTCTCAATCTTTACAAAGTTGTTAACGAGAGACTTGTGGACGATAAATCCGATACCTCCTTGGGACAGATGGTCGCCCTCCCGGTGATAGAGCAAGTTGCCGGATTTGAGGATTACCGTGTCCTCCCCCTCTCTTCGGACTTCGGATAATCCTATAATATGCCAGCGTAACTTGCTCTCTTCTTCCAGCTCCACGATCTTCTCGTCAGTCCTCAGGGTGCGTGCGTTGTATGTTGCCAGGTCGAGTCGTCTTAGGTGGCAACCGAACCTCCACCGGAGATTCTTAGCACCCCCTGCCCCGCCGTTACCATGGTCGCCACCGTAGCCAGGAATAGCGGGGCCGCCGGGGACTGGGGGCCGTGTCTTTGTTGCTCTCGTCATAGGGGGGTATTTGCCATAGTTGCCACGCTTGGTGAGCGGGTTGGCAACCGCAGTTTTTTTATTGTATGTTTGTTGTTATCAGGAAGATGCTGCTGCCCATCTCCTGGCTGTTTCCCTTTGTCAACTTTTACGACACCCACGGGAAGATATGGGGTAGTGGATATTCTTAACCTTTTTTATACAGTTTCAACTTAACAAAACATTTAAACTTGGTAATAGAGAGAGCCTGTACACTTTCCGGGACCTAGTTGTAATAGCGTATACATTGCCCCAAGAATGAATTACTGACTCTGTGGAGTCGAGAAACTGACATATAGCAGTGTAATGAGCTACACAGCGTGCTTGGATTTATAAGTATTTTATTCTTTAAACAAAACGTTACCCCCACACTAGGATTTTCTCCTGATTCGTGGAGGCAGTTTATAAATATAAATTGCACAGGGACAAACATCCAGACGAGGAACAATTATTTGTAGGTTAATTATTTGAGCATCATAGAGGCTGACAACATTTTGGTTAAGAATCGAGACTGTATCGTCAACAGTAGGTGCTGCAATTAAATTAGGGTTCGAATCCCGCAAGGAACAAGCATTTGTAATCAATATAATATATAATAATTAGAATTAATCTCAAAGAGATATGTAAGGATCGTGACACTTGGCGATCTGTTCTCTCTGGCTACCCCGTCAGGGATTGTGCGTGAAGATAAGTTAAGTTAAGTTAAGTTAATCTCGATTTAGCCTCTTTAATTGCAGCACCTACTGTTGACGATAAAGTCTCGATTCTTAACCACAATGTTCTCAGCCTCTATGATGCTCATGCTCCAGTTCACAAGGTTAGATTGAAGCGTCCGCCTGCCCCATGGATGACAGAGAGCGTAAGGTCGGCAATGTCTAGACGAAATAGAGCTTTTCTTCGTTCCAAGAGAGACCGTACTGAAGGAAATTGGTTATCTTTTAAAGCAGCCAGGAATAGGTGTAATCAGATGGTACGTGCAGCTAAACGCCGATTTTCCATTATTGTATTAATAACTCTTCACCAGCCGTAGTGTGGAAATTTCTAAGATCTTTAGGTATTTGCAGGCCAGCTACATTGGATTGTGGTCCTTCTCTATCACTCGATGAAATCAACCAACATTTCTCTTCTGTAAAAGCATTGGACCCTACAATTCGCTCCCAAACTATGACATCCATTGCTTCTATGCAAACTCCTAACATTCCTACCTTTAATTTTTCTCCTGTTTCTCAGGATCATGTCAAAAAGTCAATTTTAGCAATCCAATCCAAGGCGGTGGGCTATGATGAGATTAGTAGACATATGGTAGTATTTATACTAGAGAACCTTCTTCCGGCAATTTTCCATATCATCAATTTTTCCCTTGATTCATGTCAGTGCCCTAATCTTTGGAAGAGGGCTTTTATAAAGCCTCTCCCAAAAGTACCTACTCCCATTCTTCCCAATCATTTTTGCCCAATATCCATTCTACCCTTTCTTTCCAAAATTTTAGGATCCTGTGTTTACAAGCAAATCTCTACTTTTATTTTGAAACATAACCTACTGAGTATATTTCAGTCTGGGTTTCGCCCTGGTCATAGTACCACTACTGCTTTAATTAATGTTACTGATAATATTGGACAAGGTATGGAAAAAAAAGATAACAGTACTGGTACTAGTTGATTTCTCAAATGCTTTCAACACAGTTGATCATGAAATCCTCCTTTCCATACTATCTCACCTGAATTTTGGTCCTACTGCTTTGGAATGGTTTGCATCTTATCTTCGCGGTCGACAGCAGTCAGTCTGTGTGAGGCAAATATCCTCAGCTTGGGCTGATGTAGATGCTGGTGTGCCGCAAGGCGTTATTCTTTCTCCTATAATTTTTTCAATTTTCATAAACTTTATTACCTCCATCCTCGACTGCTCGTATCATTTGTACGCCGATGACCCTCAGCTTTATGTGCAAGCTGAAATTGGGGATATCCATAATGGGGTCAAAAAACTTAACAACTACTTATCAGCTATCAAAGATTGGTCTACTCGTTATGGAGTTTTGGTCAATCCTTTGAAATGTCAAGCTATACTGGTTGGTAGCTCAAGAATGCTAGCTCAGATTAATCTGGCAGATTTACCTCCTATTTATTATGATAGTATTATAATTTCGTTCAGTAATTCTGTTAAAAATCTTGGCCTACATATCGACAGCACGTTGAATTGGAGAACCCAGGTTTCAGAAGTGAGTCGTAAAGTCATTGCCACTTTATGCTCTCTGTATCGTCTAAAACATTTTCTTCCCATAAAATCTAAGATCATGCTTGTCCAATCGCTCAAATTAGCCATAATTGACTATGCAGATGTGTGTTACCCAGATCTGTCCCAAGATCTTCTGAACAAACTGGAACGCCTTCTTAACAACTGTATAAGATTTATTTTCGGGCTTCGTAAGTATGACCATATTTCGCAATATAGATCTAAGCTAAATTGGCTAACAATCCGCCAGAGGCGCAATTCTAAAATATTGCTTGTTCTTTTTTCCATTTTTCTGAAAGAAGATGTAGTGACAAAAATTGAGAAAGGTATGCTGAGATGGTTTGGCCATGTCGAGAGAATGAATGAAGAACGATTGACGAAAAAAGTGTATAAGGCGAGTGTGAATGAAAGTGTTGGAAGGGGTAGACCTAGGCGGACATTTCTAGACCAAATCAGGGACGTCTTGAAAAAAGGCCAGGTCAAGAGTACCCTAAACCGTAGAGCATGTATGAAGGGAATAATGAAAGTGGACGAAGCAAAATAAGTATGCAAGGATCGTAGCAAGTGGAAAGAACTGGTCTCTGCCTAACCCCACGGGAAAGAGGCGTGATTATATGTATGTATGTATGTATGTTTTTCCATTTTAAATGACCCATCTTCGCTTTCTTATCTTAAGAGTAAATTTCACTATCTCTCCTCATCTCATGATAGTGTCCTACGTTCTTCTTCTAACAACAAAATCTGTATTCCTGTTCACTTCTCCGAGTTCTATGGTAACTCCTTCACAGTTCCGGCTACACGCCTTTGGAACTTCTTGCTCGATGACATCAGAAAAGCACCCAATAAGTATGCTTTTAAAAAATTGGTCCATAATCATCTATTGAAGACAACGCATTTTACGTGATTCATCCATTTAATATGTATTGCTAAACAGACGCATATATTCATAGGTTATTGTATGTACTAATTATATATGTATTTAAATATGTATATTTGTATATATATATATATTTGTATATACATGCCATATATTTGTATATATGTATGTATACGTCATATATGTATAGTTTATTTATTAGTAAATTATATGTATTATGTAGTTAATTATTATTTTGTGGAGTGTTATTTTATTCTATATTGCCGCACCTACGTCAAATTCTCACCACTCCTGGAAGAAAATGCCTCAAGGTATTAAGTCCGCCCTTTGTATTCTTTTGTTTTAAGGAATGCAATAAAGAATAAATAAATAAATAAATAAAAACCCGCAGCCCCCAGCGTTACAACCAGTTGCTAAGCCACTGCACCACGGTGTCGTAAAATTTAAATTTAATTTATGTTTGCATTATTATTAACAAGTGTTGTTTCACGCGTTGAAATCTTTTATACGTAGAATTCGCAATTGCTCTACCTCTCAGGTATAGCATTTGCCTTGAATTTGTTTTTACAACTGAAACATAAGTCTACCAACAATAATAGCGATTCATTGCATTTGATTTATTTTAACAAGCAGTAGGACATAAGTAGACTTGATTTAAAAGAAATCATAAACCAGTCCTCCAACCTTATTGGAGATTTATTGTTCGTTTTTCAAATCCTCAAACTGTTAATTGCAGTTTTGTTCTGCCTAGGGATCCAAACATTCAAAGTAGATAATCTGATGATGAAATATTTTTATTTTATAGAAATCAAGAGCTGGTTGAGCTAATGTCATCGGCCGTACGAGATTTAGCCGAGGCGGAGTTCCTGGGGGAGCGTGATGAACAGAACAACCCGTTGCCTTCCCGTCCGTTGCCTGAGGAGCAAAGAGAGGCTGCTTCAGGTAATTTTCATTCTCATTCATTGCAACCTATCATAAAAATCACTGATGACCATGGGCTTCCACCGTTGATTCATTAAGTCATATGGGGGTATTTGCCATAGTTTTTTCTTATAGGATAGGGTGACAAACGAGCACACAGTCCACCTGATGATAAGTGGTTGCTGTAACACATAGACATCTATATCTATCCTCAATAAAGACTCAAGATGCAGATGCGTTGTCACCCGTGAGAACTAAGATCGAAGACCCAATCGAGCCGACCCATTCGTACTACAATTATACTACTAATATAGCTGCAGCATGGCTCTACCACGTAAAAAATAGTACGTAACGACGTGGCAAGCTGATTGGCAATCTCCTTGCGCAGTATATTATTATTGATAAACATAGACATTATATTATTGATTAACAAATCAGTCAGTCATTTGAAATAAAATAATATTTCTTTCATGGCAAGATAAGAAAAAGTGCGAGGGAGATGGATATTATTCCATCTCACTTCCTTTTTTCGCCGCCAAGGCCGTCTACACTATGACACAAGGGGTAGTGACGAAAAAATCTTACACTGTTTGTCGCCTAGCTTCCATGCGCCAAACCCGTACCGTCCGATAAGGAACTTCATTCCAAAAAAGCTATACAGTTACGAATATATAAACTCAACTTGATGACTTCACAGAAAAAAGTTTTAGGTAAACTTTAAAATATTTTGACATTTACTTGACATTAATTTATGACGGTGACAAAATATTAACCAATTTGCAAAGGAAATGAGTCTCGTCCAAAATAGGTATATTTTTAAATGTCTCAAAAATTACAATGTGCTTGAGTGACGGTGTGATTTAAAATAAAAATAATAAGCAAACATAATACAACAAGATTGTCCTTCCCTAGTCGGGATAACTCATATTATATATACATATATATATATATATATATATATATATATATATGTATATATAATATGTCACAAAAATTCATTTTAAAACTTCAAGTGCATAAACACATAAGGGATATATTTCAAGTTCCTCACCTAATGACAAGTTTAAAGGTCGGCAAGCACTGGTCGACAGTGACTCGAAGCGAACATAACGACTTACTTTCACTTTGTTATTCGACAGTCCAGGCTTTATCGTTTTGGTTCTTGAGTCACCTATGATAGTTATTATTTCTATTGTAACGGAATGATAATAACAGGCGCTGAAAAAAGAGGTTAACGTTTTATATCTGTTACTTTCAATAGTGAATTTTACATGTAACTGAGTTAGTTACTCGTTGGCAGTCGTTAGCGTTTGTTAGTGATCGTATTCACGATGAATTCACCAATGGAGATCATATTCACACAATTTATTTATTTTGTCGAGACTATAGTTTATCTATAATATAGAAATGAATCGTTGAATGTGTTGCTAAGCGCAAATCTCGAGAGCAGCTGAACCGATTTCGCTAATTCTGTTTTTATAATATTCCTTGAAGTACGAAGATGGTTCTTACGCAGAGAAAAATTTTAAAAATTGCCTGAATAAGTCTAAAATCACCACTTTTCTATATTCCCATACAAAAGATTCGTAATAATACTTAAAAGTCAATTTAAACTTTAATACCATACCATAAAGTTTAAGTGTTAGTGGAAGGGTTCCGGGAAGGCAAAACAATTGAGTGACGTTAGTATCGTATAAATATTAATGTCAATATTTGTCAATATTTATAAGATGGTAACATTACTCAAAAACAAAATTAGGGTTCCGCGCAAAAAAATTGATATCCATGAAATCGTAGTAAATACCACGCGGGCGAGGTCGCGGGGCACAGCTAGTATTTTATGGTAACGCTAGAATTTGATATGTGACGTTGTAGTAAAGGTGTTACCAGAGTCTATGATTAAGGACCAAAATAGCTCTATTCACAATGCATATTGGGTTAGCGTTACCAAGCAAAATCACAAAATCTTGTCCCGATAGTAGGCGCTATGATCCAGTTATTAATTGAAAAAAAAATTAAGTATCTTTATTTGCTTAGTGGCTTTTATTCTGAACAAATATGTTTATTTATATTTTTTTTCTCTTTATTTATTAAGGGGCTTTTATCCCAAATGCACTGTCGCTCCATTATATACTACTCTCTCTCTTTCTCTCTCTAAGAACTAGAATTATTGGCGTTTCATAACCATATTAACAAAACATTTTGCAACATCCGACAGTGGTTCGCTAACACAGTTACAAACTCCTAAATCGTTTAATTTATCTTAAAATTATTCATAAATAATTGTCTTCATCTCTCGAACTTACCACATTCCATTAATAAATGCTCAATGTCATCAATATATTTCCATGTTTCATAAAATAAATTTTATATTGACACTATATAATAAGTCCGGTGTGAATTCGGTGTGAAACTCATCGCGCCACTTACCGTAAAAGGCAGAACAACGTTTGATGGATCGGTTTCAGGTTATTTATGAAATATTTTATTCATGGTGTCTTATTTCTATTGTAATTAATAACACAGGTAGTAAATAACACAGTAGTAATCTTTGGAAAACTATATATTACCTGATTGCGGCGGAGTTCTAAAAAAGTTTAGAAAGTTCCTTAGCGCAGTTGCTAAACGTTGATTGTGGCAGGTTCGATCCCACACGGAACAAGTATTTCTATGGCTTACAAGTGATTGTAAGTCTGTGTACTAGTCAAAAGAAGAAATTTCTTGTATGAAGTGTGACCATTCTTGTAGTGTGTTTTGGATTTTAGGTATATAAGCACATGAGTAAAGAAAGTATAAGTATGTTTGCCATTTTGATGCCCATGCGTTACTTGTAAACAGGTAGTCGGTTTCTGACAAATGTATTCTAATCTGTTTGTAAAATAGCGCGGGTTATATGGAGTATATGAAAAATGGCCACCATAAATTGTCAAATGCACTATAGTGTATGATATAAGAGTAATAATTAGATTTTTTATACAATAAGAATGAAAAATGAGCACACAGTCCACCTGATGGTAAGTGAATGCGTTGGCTCATATATATCTGCAACTTTTCTCCATTAGTAATACCAAAATGCAAATGAGTTGTAACTCCTGAAGAGAAGATGGAATGCCTTGTTTCCAGTCAAAAGTCTCCGGTTCTCTATGCTGAACATATGAAACACAGCAGCATTAAGCTGCTATTTTACACTAGTATTTTATGAGAGTGTGGTATTTCCCCTGTCGAACCTTCCATTCGTCCTACAACCTATATAGCTGCAGTATGGTTCTACTACGTACAAAAAATTATTATTTCAAAAGGATTTCCAAATATTATTTACAATATCTTAACCTCCACTACATTTACAATATCCTAACGCTTGTTCTATGGTATGGTAACAACAGTAAAGCGGAAGTATATTAAGTTATATCACGTGTAGGTTATTGATTACAGTTGCAAATATATTACATAATTTGCATATGAAAAAAAATTTATTTATTTTTGTTTTAAATATTTCTCTGTGTAATTCGATTAAATTGATAATATAATAAAAAAAAATAATTTTAATTTTTAATTTCCGATACCGGCCATCAACATTTTTTTAAATAATTTAAATCTAAGACTTAATTCGTTTTAGAAGTCTAACTATGAAACGCGTTTTCCTAATAATCAAATAAGGTTCACCTCACACCCTCGCCATCGTTACCGAGTAAACACTTGGGCGACTCTATTTGCATAGGAATTAATGGGCAAACGTGCGCACATCCTCGATTCGTGTCATATGCCAACCTGTTCTCTGCATAGATTACTTATATGATAGAGCAATCATTGAGTAACGATCCAAATAATGTTTCTGAATTCACGGGAAGTTTTTTTTGCTTTCACCTAAAATTTGCTATATCTATCCTGTAAGCAGAGATATCAAAATAATTATCGTAATATTTGCTATTTAATTTTCCTTTTTAGTTTCGATTATTTTACAGTTTCTGACCGATTTAGATTGAAACTTAGTGGTATAAGCCTTTAATATAGGTCTCAATTTTCCAACACAAAAACCAATGTATGGCCCACTGCTAGTAAGTACGTTACCGAATTAATAAATGCCAATGATAGAAGATGACTAGCGACAAGACACTAACAAAATTATACGCATTGCCTCAACAAACAGAATTGTATGTATATTAGAATTCTGTGTGTAAAAATGACTTGTTAGTAATATAAATATCACTTTTGAATAATTTAATTACAATGTACATTCTGAGTGAGTATTACTCTGTGGTTAAGCACGGTGACACGAAAAGTTGTGATGTGTCAATAAACATGACATTAGCTTGGTTTTGCTTTTACACGTTGTGACACGGTATTTAACATCGTGTAGCTTATTGATTCAACTATACTTGCTTTTGTCAAATCATGTTTATTTGAAAATTATGTTGTCTCATTCAGTCGTGTGGTGGCCGCATAAGAGAGTCTACCACGACGTATGATTATCAAGTGGGTTTCGTAAGAGGCGGCTAAGTAAAATGTCCTCAAAATGTGGTGGTCTCCGATAGAGCCATGCTGTAGCTATCGGAGCGTGTTGTGGCACGAATGGGTCGGCTTGACCGAGGAAGGACCACGCTCTCACAGAAAACCAGCGCAAAATAGCAGCTCAATGCTGCTGTGTTTCGTATGGAATGTAGAGAACTGGAGATCCTTTTTGCTGGAAGCGATACATTCCATCTTAGTTCTCAGGGGTGACAACGCATCTGCATATCGATTCCTTATCGTGGACAGATGTAGATGTGTATGGGCTACAACATACACTTATCATCAGGTGGAATGTGTGCTCGTTTGTCACCCTTATACTGTAAAAAAGTAGATGTTGTTATAAGAAACTCAGGAGAGATGTAAAATATACAGACCGGCGACGGAGAGCAACGTCAAAGGTTCGAAATATTTAGTACTGTCAAATCCACCTGTCCAGTGTGGCGATTGTGGCTAATTCTCCCTTCTATGAGAGAAGTTCATGTTTAACAGTCTACTTTTTACGTGTTGATGAA